CACGCGTGGTTCTGCTGGATTGGTGGCTCGGAGGCCCATTGGGCGCAGTGGGCTTTGGGTCATCAGGGCGGTGGGCGGGGTTCCCCGTGCTGTGACAGTAAACAGAACGGTGGTGGACAGGGCTACTAGTAACCCTATAAATAGGGCATGGGTCCATAGCCTGGACCCCTGTTGTCGGGTTCCAGTTTGCGGAAGTGCGGCGGTCGCTTCCGCTTCATTTCCTATTTCCATCTCTTGCCACGGCAAGTTGAACGTGGCAGCTCGCTGGCTGCCGTCATGACCCCGTGTTAACGTGTCCATCCTTGCCATTTTATTTTGTCGCTTTAGTAGTATGACGCCCCGGTGAAGCCTTTTCCTCGCGCTTCGTTTTCTAGAGTAGGTCGTCATATCTTGTGCCATGGCTCGGGGGTCGCTTGCTTCCAGCCGGACCTCGCGCTCGCTGCCCCCTCGCGGTTCCTTGATAACATTCGGTTCTTCACTTTCTGTGGTCATTTTGGTCGTGGGGGGAAGTGGTGTTCCCTCTGCTTCCTCTACAAACAACGAGTCGTCAGGGTCATCACCAAACCCATCACCTTAAAAGGCCACTTCACCCCAAAAGGCCAGTATCTGCTACCGTATCCACCCATTTCAACACCCTTCAAGATTCAGACGGCCCATTTCCCACACGGTCTATTTCACTCAAACCCATTGATCCCCACTTTCAAAGGAATATCTTATCACCTCAAAAATATTTCAACTACATCGGGTCTCTGCTCATGTAATGCAACCGGCAGTTATTCAGTTTATTCTACAGGGTGACAAAACTATCCAATCAAATGAACACTTGTCACATCACCAAATTTGACTGCTGCATGTCTGGCCATCGCATGCACGCCTCCTCCTATTGTGCTCACCCATGCTTTTCAGAAGGAGGGGTGGGCTCCCGTTCAAAATCCGGCTTGGGCTTGTATCCCTGAAGCCACCCCTGCACCTCGGCTTTCACTAAATCGAACTGCCACTTGGCTTGGATGACCTGCGCCTCGGTGTTCCAGTTATCCATGGCTTTCTTCAGTGCCAGGGACCACAGATCACGCTTGGGCAGACCTGGTGACAAATGCACGAGGAAATAATGCTCCTCCTCCAAGGCACTCAGCGACTCATGTACGCCTTCTCCAGCGTTGGCGCTTTCAACCATTTATTAAAAAAGTCGCCAATAATTTTCTTCTTTTTCATCTAAATCTCGTCTTCCACATCCTCCAACGCCCTTCAAACCACCAGTTTGTTCTCCTGCCAGTGCAACTCTGACAGTTCAACGTCTCTTCTTATAGCATCCCATATGGGCTTCAGGTCTACGCAGCACATTGCCTCGAACTGGAGAATTATTTTGTGCAAACCGCCAAAGACAAAATGCTCATGTCCATGGATGCCAAGAATCCAAGTTCCGCCTGCTTCACCGTATCGAAGATGTAGTAGTCGTTGTTCACGGAGGCCTCCCACACCTCCATTTATGCATGCTGAAGGTTGTTGGCACGCTCCAAATCTTGTCCACCTTAGTCTCTCCCCGCTCACTGGTCTAGAACGCCTGAACTCCCGGCGTCGCAAGGTGGGCAGTCTGGAATTGCTCTAGCTGCTCACAGAATTCCTTCACATTATTCAAGCCTAGGAGGGCTTGCGCCTTCCACCACACCAAGATATACTCCATGTGGGTAGTGGCAGCCGCGCTGCTCAGAATGCAGGCCATTCTCCATGAAGTTTGGGTGGCAGGAGGGTTCTCGCGCACGCACAGTGCTCTCCACACAGCAGCTCTCGCATGGGATCTACATGTGCACCCCCTACAACCAGTGTGCATGCCGCCAAATGACTGCCATTCAAATCATTCACCTTTCATCTATATCAAACCGCTTGCTTCCATGTGGCCCCCAACTACAGGTGAAAGTTTCTTCTAAAATGCTCATTTCTCCTCCAAATTAGCTGCCAATACACCAATCGATTGCTTATGAAATTTCCTATTCAATGACACTTTACTTGCCTCTTAATGATCATCTTAAACCCTTAATGAATGCCCGGGATTCCTACTCTCAGTCAGGTCACTGCCCGTGTCTCTCACGGTGGACTAACATATAGGTTAATTTGACATTGCCCGATTCTGCCAACAATATTCCCGATACATCATCCTATCATGCCCTTGCCCGCATTCCCCTTGACTCATCCACGGGACCCATCCTCTGGGCCACGAATGTGACGTGGCTACTTGAGGTTAGGCAGTTATTGGCATTTTCTGGAGTGGAGATTATATAATCTTGGGAAATGTACCTTTTGTAAGTGTTATTTAGAGCTTCTTGGTTCCAACGAGCTTTTAAACGCCCAATTCCGTTAAGAATTGACGAAGATATGGCCTTCTGAAGTCATAGAACTTAGGGCCAGGGGGTCGGGTGTGAGATGCTTGGAATTAGAGGACATTGGGTCGATTGTAGTTGAACGGTGGACGGTGACGATGTGCCTGGACGCGCACTTGTATTGTCTTGTCTTGATGTGACCGCGGTGGACCCGCGATCGGGCATTGTGCATACGATATATGCGCGTGCATGCAATGAATCATTGTAACATCCTTTGGCCCACTCTCTGGCCTCCCGCGAGCCAGCGAACCACCACCGCGCTGCGCCGCCACCTCTCGCCGACAACAGGCCCCGGGGATCGATCCCCGTCGAGCATTGGGCCCACCACACGACCACGAGAACGTCTGCCCCGGATACGCCCACCGTCCAAGGTGGAGAGAGCCGGCTGACCTCCAACAGCCGAGCTGTAGGGCAGGGCGACCCCACGCCTCCGGAAACCAGCGGCTGCCGACGGGGCCACAACAACGGAGCTAGGCATCCCCTATCGCCCCCGCGACCCCGACCAGGGTTCCGGGCCAGTGCGTTCCTCTCACCAAGGCTCCGCCGCAAACCTCCACTGGTCAGATCAATGGGCAGCCCCTCCTCCATAAACCCACCAGCACATATTGTCTCTGACGACATTGTGTATTGCGTGTGAATGTCCAGACCTTCGAGACCGATTGGCTCGGATCCAGGCCTTTTGGATTAGGGGCAAAGATGTGACGCCCTTTCCAAACAGAAACTTTGTGGGTAAAATGAAAGGCCTAGGGAAGGTGGTTCATTCACCCAAGCGGGACAGGACCAATCCAGCACGGATACCATGAGCCACCGTATGGCTGGTCCTCTCCATCGCTAGCCCATGGATGCTTACATAGCTGCCCAAGACAACGATGGGCATTGCTCGAATTCTACATCGCAGGGCCCTTCCTTTCCTACCCCTGAGTGTGTTGCGAGGGTCGCTTTCTATAAAGGTTGTCATGTGTAGCTTTGTGGAAGCCAAACCTCCTCCAGAGGTGGCACGAAGCCGCCAAGGCCCTTGCTACTTTGAATGTGCTTATGCGTTTGGGATGCTTAATTGTGCAGGGTTACGAGAGCGTGTCTCCGTGTCGCTCATTCTGTGTCCCCTTGCCGTAGTCCGATGGCCGATACTATCCTACAGGCCCCTTGGCCCATACGATTCTCTTCCTGTGGTTCACGGCTCCCCCATACTAGAGTCCCATACCAGGGCAATCTGGGCCTCAAAGGGGTGAATATTTCTTTTTGCGATAATAGACTATTTTTTTGCGACAGTGCCAAACTACTCTTTTTTGCGACAGTGGATTGTTCTTTTCTGCGACAGTGAATATGACTAATGCACAGCTTGGGAAGGCGGCGGGCCTTCAAACCAGCTCGCCTACCCGCCCCCTGCCCCCCTCCACCCGTCACTTGCCACCGGTCGCTAACAGCCGCCGTCGCTGTTGTTCGCCGCCCGAGGGACCGTTTTCCACTCCCTCAAACTTCACGAGTCAACGCTGTGCTTGTTTGGGGTCTGGGTGATGCACAGGGCCGGGCGGCGCCAAATGAGCACTAGGGTTGCGCCAATCGCTGAAATGGCTATAGTGGCAGCCCGCCACAGGTCGTGGCTCACAGGGCGTGCCCCCACCTGGCAGCGAAATCTGGTCGTGTGACCAGTCAACGGCGCTGGGCGTGGGCGCCTTGATGGTCGATGCTTGGACCGCAATGGCGCTGGCAACCAGTGCCTTGGCCTCCCCGTCCAGCATCACGAGCAACACTCCCCGGTCCCAGTTCGTGGCGCCGTCTCCCCGCACGGCCAAGTGGCCGCATTTCAGGGGGCTAGCATGGCAAAAACAGATTTGGGGAGGAAACGGGGGGCTGCAACCTCAGCCGATTCAGCTGAATCTTAGCGCCAAGGTGATTGCCGAGTGGTAGCGGCAGCCCCCTTCCACAAGGTGGGGACCCTGGGCGTCCCCAAACGTTCCCGTTTTGCCTTTTAGTCCTTTCTCCGAGCAGATGCGCCTTCAGCGCCATTGTGAGAGGAGGCCTGGTGGACCTTTGATACCAACATCTCGCGCATCAATTATCGCCACTATCGCAAAAAAGAGTAGTTTGGCACTGTTGAAGAAAAGAACAATCCACTGTTGCAAAAAAAAATAGTAACCCCTCACAGGGCACCAGCTTGTTGCAACTCATGGGCGCATTATTGAGCCATGATGTGCTCATTATTGGTGACCCCCGAGCAACTGGCATGTGTGGCAGCAATGTCGAAGGCAATTCGTATTGTTGATCGAGGTGTATATTACCCTGGTGGATGCATGGTGATGCTGTTGGATTTTCTGGGCAAGATGCTAGGGGTCGAAAGCATGAGAATGGGACGGATTATTGACCGATTCCATCTTGTGTATCCCTTCATGAGTCCTTTTTGTAGTGAACATTAGCGTTGCCATTTTCTGCGCGATGGGGCGTTTCCTGCAAGGGCCAGAGGGTGCCTATTTGGGCAATGGCTGCCGCACACGCCTCCCTTACCTCCCACACCAAGACCCCTGCAGGAAAACGTTCCACCCCGCCCGAGGTCACCAGCACTCTTGCCCCCAAAGCAGTGCTTTGCCGTCTCCTTGCCCTGCCCCAAACCGAGGACCGAGCACAGTCATGGAGGCCATCTGGCTGGAAGACCACAAACTGGAGCTGAAGACCGACCTCCCGGTACCAGATGCGCCCGGCGAGGCCCTGGTGCGCGTCCTGCGCGCGGGCATCTGCAACACGGACCTGGAGCTGGTCAAGGGGTACTACCCCTACACGGGCGTCCTGGGCCACGAGTTCGTGGGCATGGTGGAGCGGGGCCCGGAGGAGATCACCGGCAAGCGGGTGGTGGGCGAGATCAACGCGACCTGCGGCGGCTGCCGCTTCTGCCGGTCGGCCGCGCCCACGCACTGCGACGACCGCACGGTGCTGGGCATCGTCGGCCGGCACGGAGCGTTTGCGCGCTTTCTCTCCCTGCCCGCTAAGAACCTGCATCCCGTGCCTGACGGCATCAGCACGGACGCCGCGGTGTTCGCGGAGCCCCTGGCGGCGGCGCTGGAGATCCAGGAGCAGGTGGCTGTGGGGCGCGGCGCTAAAGTGCTGCAGGTTGGGGACGGCAAGCTCGGCCAGCTGGTGGGCCAGACGCTGCTGGCCACGGGGTGCGATCTCAGCGTCGTTGGGCGACATCCCGCCAAGTTGGCGCGGCTGGAGAGGCACGGCGCCAGGACAATCGACGCCGGAGATGTGGATGCCAAGAGCTTTGACATCGCGGTGGAGGTGACGGGGAATGAAGAGGGATTCGCGCTGGCGCAGAGGGCGCTGCGCCCACGGGGCACGTTGGTGATGAAGAGTACTTACGCCGGACGGCTGAGCCTGGACGCGGCGAGCATCGTGGTGGACGAGCTGACGGTGGTGGGGTCGCGGTGCGGGCCCATGGGCAAGGCGGTGGAGGCGCTGGGGGCCGGCCTGGAGGTGGAGGACCTTATTGAGGCGAGGTACCCGCTGGCGCGCGGCCTCGACGCCTTCGAGCACGCCGGCAGGCGGGGCGCCCTGAAAGTGCTGCTGGACGTCACCTGACGGGTGCTGACGGTTGGCCAGGGCGGGACTCCCCGGGACAGGCGCTGGTGCACGAGCGACAGCGGCGTTTTCCAAGGTTGACTCGGTCATTTGTTCCTTGTTGCCTTTTCGTTTATCTATTATCTTGTTTCGTTATGTTTCGTTGTGCCTTTTCGTCATTTATTTTTGTTGTGTTGCTTGTCGTTGCCATTCGTTGTCTATTGTTTGGGATACCGAATAATGCGTCACGTGCAAGAGGCTACCTTGCAGGGATCCGGTTGGGTGGACGAAGGTTGGAGCCATGCTTGCACCAAAAGATGGCAGTGCGGCTCCAAAAGCCTTGGTTGGCTGGAGGCACGTCAGATGGACCGGACAGGGCCAGCCTTGATTTGCCGGGAAGAGATGGATCCTTACTCAAGGCCAGGGAGAGCTGCTCAAAGAATCTCTCTTCATACCTCAACAGCAGTTCCTGGTGATTGTCAACACACAGACGGTCAAAGGCATATGGACTGGGGGATGGCAAAGAACAGGGAGAAGTCTCGATGTGCAGCCAGGAGCTTTGCTCTATCCTTGGCGCCTTGCTGTGTTTGACTGCGGTCGGCAGATGTCCGGGCTGCGCCATCAAGTGCACCTGACTCAAATCCAACGCCTAGAAACGAATTTTGCACTACGCCACCTGGCAGAGCAACACGAGCTGCGCAACCAGTAGCGCGAGGAAGGCTGCTGTCGAGGCACCTCAATGCCCTCGATTATCTCTTTGAGTCCTTCCTTGGTGGCATCACACACATGGTACAGCAGCTGACCATGGTCTTGGGCCATCCCCGAACACTGCACCCGCAAATTGCCTCCCCCTACCCAGCCGTCCGCAGTTGCCTTGGGCAGGAAAGTGCTTTGGCAGCAGGTTGAACAGCAATAGGCAGTTCATCAAGGCCGCCTGAGCGACCACCGCCACAGCCCCGTGGGCGGCCCCAAAGTGGATGCCTTCCACCGTGATGTGGCGTCCTTCAGCCCCCAAACCCGTGCGATGTGGCATTGAATCGAACCCAGCCCTAAGGCAGATGAATCTTGCCCTCAAGCGGATGAGTGCTGCCCCTGGCCTCAAATGTGGGTCCCGGCAAACTTGGCGCCTGGTGGCCAAGCCGCCAACAGTTTCTGGCGGGAAAATACTGAATATTAGTTGTTACATATATTGACTATTTTTTCTGGCGGAAATATTGTTTCTGGCAGTGAAATGGCAGAGCGCTTGTCCCATGGGGGTCGCTCAGGCGCACGTCAACAATAGCGGGCGCAAAATCTGACCACACAAGGGGGTTCTCGCGGCCCTGCCCCAGCCACCACCGGTTTTCTCCTTTTTTTGGAATTGTACGCCATAGCAGGCCATGATACTAGTCACAAGTGATGGACAAGAAAGTTGTTGAAATGTGGGCATCAACGCCAACCAGGACCCTGGCCTGGGCGCACCAACGAACTTCATCGGCCTGGCATACGAGACCCTGCTGCGGGAGTTGGACTCCAAACTGACGAGGAGCGCGCAGCAGATGGATGCCCAGGAGTGCCGGTCGCTGCTGTTCTCCTATGGGCATTTCAATCCCAACACGATCGCCTACCTGTGTGGCCACGTGCACGAGGTGTTTGGCAACAAGCTGCGCAGGATGCATGCAAGCCCGGAGAACCGTTATCTCGTGGAGCTGGAAATGGGGGGCTGGAAGTTCGCCAGACGTTTCCGCATCATGGCTGTCGAGAAAGAGACGTTGTCTTTCGCGGACATAAGGTACGAACCGCAGCCAGCCTCCCAGTGCGGTTTTGTCATCGAGTGTGTGAGCGACAACATGCGGTCACTTGTCGCCACTGAGGTTGACAGTGCCAGCCAATGTTCCCAAGGTTGTCCGTGCGCTGGTCCTATCAGTGGATGGCTCCCCTGAGCCTGGCGAGGAAGAAGACAATGCGGAAGTGGTGGCCAGTTGGACTTGCAACGCGAACGCTCACACGAACTGCAGTGCAGAGATATCTAGAGTGGACGTGGAGTCGTTGTTGTATGTTGTGAACAAAACCGCAAAAACATGCCATGACGGAGATGGGAGTGTTGGGCTTGGACTGGCCCATTTTTGCAAGAAAAGCCTTCTTCTTGTTATGGAGCATCCACTTGTTTGGGATGCTGCTAATTCCCAAGCTCCTTATGGCGCAAGGCAACTTTCTCCCTCCTGAGTGATTAATGCAATGGGCGACAACGGCACTCACAGGAATGGATTTGAGGCAAGATAGTGCTGCCACTTCACCAGTGGCTGCATGAGTTAAAACTTGGCATTTGAGAACAAATGTGCAACATATAGTTTGCAAGCAATTCATATATTTCAGGGCAGTATGTCCACGCGTACTTTTGCCTGCGCTACAGAATTTGTTGGATGGTGTAGAGGAATGTTGTCCCGATAAGCGAATAAAGGCAGTGTTGTCTCATAGGTGGCCTCAAAAGCTAGTGTAGATCTAACTGATCTTCAAGCCCCTGCCAGGGGTGTTTGTGTAGACAATTGTCATTCCATTGTTGAATTTAATTATAAGCTTCACCCAAGCCGGACCCATGATGGAGGGCCTGGGAGTGGGAATGGAGGGGGTGGGAATGGGGGTGGTGTTGGGCGGGTGGTTTGGACGGATCCTGCGGATCCCAACAGGAATGGTGTTCGGCCATGTCAAGATGGGGTGGGGCTGTCACACGGCAAAGAAAAAATCATAATTAGAATTTGTGAATCAGAGTTTGGTTCATAATTATGAATTCGATTGGACAAAAGCACTGAGAAAGAGAGATTGAAGATCAAAAAAAATGCTTTGTAGTTGTGTAAGTTTATTTCTGTGTTGCAGGTGTGCACAGCATATTGAATTCAGAGTTTGAGACGCTAGAGCAGTCCATCGTGGGATTGAATGGCATATGGAGGTATTGGATCCACTCCATGAAACATCCCATAAAGAGGATTGGCATGTGAGGTGAGGAAGCTATACTAGTTTGGAGTTAACAAAGTTATTTTTATACCAGATCTGAGTTTGTTTGAGAGGATGTATGTATCACACGTTTCCAATTTCTTGTGGGTTGCAACAGCTTGGGAAAAGTAATGCGATTGGACAATTTTGTTTGTTTTGGATTTCCAATTAATAGCTTTGATGGCCAAGGCCACCAAGCCCATCCAATCTGTTGTCTCAGCGTTCCCCCAAGGAGGCCAGAATCGGCAGGAGTGGTCCAATGGGCACCTCATGGGCGTGAAATGGAAAAGAGTGGCTTGCTGCAGAATGCAGATCTCTTGCCTCAATTGCAATAGATGCCACTATTCCCGCCCACCGCAAATATAGCCATCCCCGCCACCTGTGGGGGGGGTGCGGTATGGCAGTGGGGGTGCGGAATGGTAGTAAGAGGCATGGTGTGGATTGCAGCCTCAATGGTGACAGGCGCCAATATATCCACCCCCCGAGCATCTATACATCCGCACCAGTTGTGTGTGCCCCTCCAGGCCTCTTAGCATATTGGCACGATGGAAAATGCGTGGTGATGCGAGGCACAAGAGCTGGGTAGGTCACCTACCATAGGTGTGGGTGGCAAAGGCACAACAGCATGCAAACGTTGCGACCATGCATAAACAAGTAAAAAACAAAAAGGTGCGGTCCTCCAGCAGGTACCACGGCATCTGCGAAGTAGCCCACTAAAAGGGCAAGGTGGCCAGCCCTTGTTTCTCATGGCCAACATGATGAATTGGCGGTGCCAACCATCTCAAAAGTGTTGCTGTCAATAGCAATCGGCATGGATCGCGCCCCCCGTGTGACGACTAAGCGCGAATGCTCGCACCACCAAATCCTGTTTGGTGGTTGCTGCCCTGGCCGGGCGCCTTGTTGTTGCCATTCCCTCCCAACCCAATACCGCAACTCTGACCAGGACCCTACCGTTGCTTGCTTCCAGGTGGAGGTGGCGGTGACACTATTTTTGGTACCTTGCTCCCCGCTCCTGACCCACCCAATTCAATCGTTTTGTTGTGCCAAAGCGCCGGCAAGCATTAGCCCCTACGTGGTTGTGATGCTTGCCTGCCATAGCAATTGCCATTCGGCTACCAATTTAGCTAGCCACGAGTGGCATGACCACTTGCCTGGGAAGCTCCACACTCACGTCTGTTGAAGGCACATGGGTGCTACGAGTGAGCACATGAGAGGCACTATGCTATGTTTGTGAACCGTCTTCAGCGCCTCTTTTGTCCCCAGTGGCGATGACATCAACCGGCCTGGCCACCGATATCACATGGTATAGCAGGGGTCAATCAGCGGTCAACCTGCGGCCAATCGCAGCCAAGGCGCCGGTAGCCAGCGGCGGGGCTGGCCCGTCTTGTGCCTTGCCCGCGGCCCTCCCAGCGCGAACAGCTCTTTAGTCACCCTCTTGCTCGCTCGTTCCTGGGCGCTCACTCATGTCACGGAACGATCGCCTATTATGGCGCCGGTCTATCGGTGGTCAAACTGCGGTCAATCGCTGGGCAGCCAAGGCACCGCCAACAAGTGGTTGGGTTGCCCCGCCTTGTGCCTCACCAGCACGCGCTGCTAACACATAGCTCCTTGCCTGGGGTATTCTGGTTGTTGTTTCCTACGCACTCGTTTGAACGGTCCTGTGCATAGGAAAAAAAATAACAAGAGAGAAAAAGTGTCATTGGCACGCTGCCGATCAGCGCATGAGTGTGCCCACCAAATAGCAATTGGAAAAAGTTGGCCTTGACCGCCATCCGCCCCACCGCAGGATGGCAGGATGCTACTTTGCCGGGTCAGTCAGAGGACTGAGCGTGCGTAGAGCGTGCGGATATCCGGCGTTGTATATAGCCAAATTATGCACACTAGTTGTGCAATTTCAAATGGCGGTGATTGCTAGCTCGTTTGAGATCAACAAAGCACAACATTGTTCTAAACTTGTTAAGATATCTTATCATCATAATGTAATCACCGAGTTAATCATATCACACTCAAAATACACCATCGTCCACAAGATAAAGTTAGAATTGTTCCCA